ATAAAAACTCAACCTTCTAACATTACAGGACAAATGTACTTACATCATAAGGATGGACAACAAAATATTAAGGAGTGCATTTTTTATAACCACCATATGATTTTATAGGCTTCAAACCCATCCCCCTCGATATATTTCAGACCCTATTTCTTGTCAAGGCCTTGGTTAACGGATCCGCAAGATTATCACAAGATTTTACATAATTCACAGTTATGATGTCATTGCTCAAATAGGATCTCACATTACTGTGCTTCCTTTGAGTAGGTCTGGATTTACCATTATAAAAATGGTTGTTCACTCTATCAATAGTAGCAGTGCTACCACAGCGAATTAACATAGGAGGAATTGGTTTTTCCCAAAAAAGGATTTCATGTAACAAATTTCTTAATTAATTCGCTTTCAACATGCTAAAGCTAACTCTATAAGCTCAGCTTCCATTGTAGAATTAGCAATTATAGTCTGTTCTTTAGACTTCCAACATATAGCACCACCACTCAAGGTAAAAATAAAACCCAAAGTAGAGAGAGAATCACCTAACAAAGTGTTTCAATCGACATCACTATATCCCTCAAGTACCGCAGGATACTTGTTATAAAACAAACCATAATTTTTAGTATCAGATAAATATCTCATAATTATTTTTATGGCTAGTCAATGATCTCGACTTGGCTTGCTAGTAAATTTGCTGAGTACTTCAACAGCATATACAATGTCAGGTCTAGTATAGCCAGTAGCATATCTCAAACTACCAATCATACTAGCATGTTCCTTTTGATTAATCACTTCTTTTTTTCTTAACATAATGCGACTGATTAAGAAAAATGCTATCATTAGTCATGGTAATTTTAATTCCCAAAATAAAATTGGTTTCACCAAGATCTTTCATATCAAAGTGGCTATTAAGCATATTTTAGTCTTATTTATAATATGCAAATTAGAGCCAAAGATAAGTAGATCATCCACAAATAGGCTAATAATCACATATGCATTCTCACAGGTTTTGTAATACATGCACTTATCACATTCATTAGTCTTATAGCCATTCTCAAGCATGCATGAATCAAATTTCTCATGCCACTATTTAGGAGATTGTTTTAAACCATAAAGGAATTTAGTTAGCTTACACGCTTTGCTTTCTTGGCCAGGCTCTACAAAGCCCTTGGGTTGGTCCATGTAAATCTCCTCATCTAGATCTCCATTTAAAAATGATGTTTTCACATCCATTTGATGAATTTTTAAATCATGAATTGCAGCCACTGCTATCAACATTCTAATGGATGTAACTCTAGTAACCAGAGAAAAAGTATCAAAGAAATCAAGTTCAACTTGTTGCTTAAAACCTTTAACGACAAGCCTCGCTTGATATTTATTTACGTTTAAGTTTTTTACGAAGGACCCATTTACACCTAATAGTTTTACAACCTGGAGGTAAATCCACTAGCTTCCATGTTTTATTTGAAAATAATGAATCTATCTCATCATTTACAGTATCTCTCCAGAAAATAGTATCATGAGATGACAAAGCTTCTTGCACGGTAAAAAAAATTTCTTCCACATTGTAAAGATAATAGTCAAGGCCAAAATCTTTTTCAATTCTAGCTCGTTTACTCCTCCTTGGTTGGATTTAAGAATTTTCTTGGTCTTTAAAAACTTGAGATGGAGTAGAAGAGTTAGGCATGAATTTTCAAAAATTATGACTCCCACTATTTGTAGATTTGAAAGGAAATTTATTTTCATAAAAAATAACATCATCTGATTCAAAAATAATATTATTTTCTATATAAAAAAAATCTATAAGTTGTACTATGCAACGCATACCCAAGAAAAGTACAAGCAGTAGCTCATTCACCCAATTTAGGTCGTTTAAGATTTGTAAGCCTCACAAAAGTTAAACAACCCCAAACCCTCAAATAACCTAGATTTGGTTTATGCCCTAGCCACAACTCATAAGGTACAATTTTAATCTTTTGTGTGGCACTCTATTAATCACATAGCAATCTGTCAAAATAGCCTCGCCTCAAAGATTTGAAGGAGCACTTGAATCAATAAGCATAGCATTCGTCAAGTCAATTAATGTTCTATTTTTTCTTTCAGCTACGCCATTAGATGAAGGTGAATATGGTGGAGTAGTCTAATGAATAACTCCCAAAGATTGAACAAAATAGTTGAATCCAATAGATTCATACTCCCGGCCTCTATCACTTTTAATTCTCTTAATCTTTTTATCGAATTGATTTTTCACTTCAAGAAAGAATTCTTTAAATTTCTCAAAAGTATCACTTTTATTTTTTAATAAATATACGTTTGTATATTTTGAAAAATCATCAATAAAAATGATAAAATATCGGTTATCACCACGAATTAAAATTCCTTCAAACTCACGCAAATCAGTATGAAATAATTCTAGCAATTTGATATTTTTCTCAACACTTTTATAAGGCCTCTTGGTAATTTTTGCTTTACTGCAAACTTCACATTTCTCAAAAAATTTTGTCACTTTTGGAATCAATCCTAAACTACTCATGATTCCTACATATTTTCTGTTAACATGACACAAACGAGCATTCCAAAAATTAATATAAGACAACATATAAACCGAATTGGTAGATGGTTTATTAATCTCAACATTTAGTTTGAACATCCCATAACAAGCATAACCTTTACCCACAAAAATACCCTTCTTAGTAATCACATATTGATAAGATTCCCTAGTTTGCTTAAAGCTAGCCTTATTCAACAAATAACTTGACATCAAATTCTTTCTCATGGACGGTGTATAAAGCACATCTTTTAAAGTAAGCACACGTCCGAAGGTGAACTTAAGGTCAACCTCACCACTCCCAAGAATCTTGGTTTGACTAGAGTCACCAAGCATAATTGTTTTCTCATCATCAAAGGGAGTATACACCTTGAACCAAGCTTTATCATATCAAACATGTCTATTAACATCAGAATCTGCCCACCAACTGTCCATATAATTAACTATGCAAATGTTTGTAATCATCGCCACAAATGGCTCCTCGATAACGTTAGCCTTTGGGGCAGATACAGGTTTTCGAAATTTGCAAGTTTGAGTAGTATGCCCACTTTTGCCACAGACAAAGCATGCAAAATTTTGTGGAGGTGGTGGACCTTAGTTCTTATTTGGATTAATCCATTTATTATGAGATTTACCATAATTCTTCATATTCTTTTTATAAGGCTTTAAATAAGCAATCCTGGAATTGTGACATTTAGATAAGTTATTATTTGTTGAAATAAAGTTTACCTTTATAGTGGAATTGTCATTACCTTCTTGTGTTATTAATGCATCTTGGCCTCTAGCCTTCTCTTCGACTCGGATGCGAGTGATCAACGCTTCTAAGGAAGTCTCTTTTTGTTTCTGGCGCATGCTCTTTTGGAATTCTCTCCAAGATGGTGGTAACTTGTCAACAAGTCCTGCAACTACCAAGTTGTCACCAATCTTGATGTTTTCAGATCTTACTTATGCAACTGTCATTTGGAAATCTTGTGCTTTCTTCACAACAGATTTTTCATCCACCATTTGGAAGCGAAAAAATCGGCTAACTGCATACTTTTTTGCTCCTGCCTTTTAAGTATCATACTTAGTCTGTAAAACTTTCCAAATTTTCTTTGTGAAAGTAATCATAAAATTGAACAGCAAGACAATTTAAGAGATAAAAACAACACTTATACTCATCTGTATTGTATAAAGCCAATTTTGCTTCATGTGTCTCGTAGTCTTCATCATTCATCTTCCCGGTTGGGATTTTGTTTGGGTTCTTCTCAGTAAGAACATAAGCAACTTTCAAAAGGCTGAGGTAAAATAAAACTTTTCCTTTCCACCTTTTAAAATGAACTCCCTTGAACTTGAAAGGCTTATTGAGATCTCCAATTCCGTCATTGATTTTTTTTGTACTTGTTCCATTTTGATCTCTTTAAAATTCTTGGTGAAAATACTAAAAGAATTATATTTTATTGATAAATAATGCAAAGAAAATGAAATACAAATAGATCAGACTAAGGCATAGATATCTCGTTTTCTTTAAGGAGATCAAGTCCACTGCGATAGAAAGAACCCAAATACCAATGCAGCTGTCACTAAACTATGACTTGTCCCCTCCATGATAGAATACACTGCTGGAAAAAGGGGCTTTAGAGGCGTTTAAAAAACGCCGCTATAGGTCCCAAAAACGCCGTCTAATCCTTTTGTGACGTTTAGTGCCAAATGCCGAAGATGCGGTCGTCGCTATAACTTTATGGCGCTTTAGAAACGTCACTAAAACGCCGCTAAAAGTTCTACTAAAGGGTAGCATGACATCACCATGCTATTTAGCGACGTTTTAAAATGCCGTCATATCTTCCTTTTAAAAAAAATCCAACTGTTAGTGTGATATTTAGCGACATTTTTAGAAACGCAGCAATAGGCTTTTTTTTAATTTTTTAATTGTGCTAATTTTATGTGATTGAACTAAAAAAATACCTGTAATAAAACTGAAAAATAACACTAATATGAAGTTGCTATGTTTAAAAGCCTTCCTACAGCCTATAATAGGTCATACCATAATAGCGAGCTTAAAAGCCTTCCTGTTACATTAATGTACATAAAATCTTGTGAGAATGGAAGTTTATCCAACTTAACATTGCCATTCACCCAACATCCATATCCACAAGAAATGCCCAAAACCAGAAGATTTAAAACAAGCATATCATATGATCTCCACATATACAAATTCTCAATTGAGTGTTGAAAAAATAATAAAAGTAAATTGGGAAGAAGTGCAGGAACAAATAGTTGTTTTCCCAAAATGTTTATTGATTTCTCATTAAACAAACAGCAGCCAGAAAGGCCAAAAAGCATGCCATTTTAGCACTTTAAAAAAAAAAAAAAGGAATAGGGGTCTCAATCATCGAACAACAATCTAATAGTGAAGGCAATTAGAATTGTCTTAAAACACAAATTGACTCTCTCTCTCTCTCTCTCTCTCTCTCTCTCTCTCTCTCTCTCTCTCTCTCCTGTAGAATATAAGTTCCAGAATAGAGCAGCAAAAAAAATACAAAAAATCCCTGGAAAGAACCCATTAATTCAACAAAAAAATTGGCTCCGATTATTCCCAAAATAGCAGCAAATGTCCCAGCAGTAGAACAAAGTCAAAAGCAACTTGCATTCTACTTGGACGAAAAAATGTAATTATTATAGTATACTTGATATAACTGAAAGATATGCAACTTTAGAAACAGCAAGGAAGTAATAATAATATGTTACGGTGTGAAATCCTTCCAAAACCTCAAAAGCATGGAAAAGTGATGCAAATAAATGGTTTCATCCAACCAAAGTGATTGAAATAAATGGTTTCATCCAATCAATATATTCAATTACACACCCAAACCAGCAATCAGAATTTCAAAGTCAGAACTAGAAAAGATGAAGATGAGCCAAAATATTTTGGAGTCACTTCTCCTTTAGAATTCAAAAGTCCCTAATCTATCCTATGCACATTTTCAGAGAAAAAGAGCATTGCCAATACAAGTGAAACCCATAAACATCTAATGACACGATGAGACATTCAAATATGGATAACTCTTTCATCCTCAATATTCATGCTTAAATATTAGTTGGAATCAACTCCCCAACACCACTAATGACACCCTTCCCATACACTTTGAAAGGAGTTTGATGTAAAGTAATACACTCCCTCTCTACATCTGGAAACTTAAAATCACAAAACTCCATCTATTATAAAAATCTGCCTAACTAAGTGGCCAACATATCTTTCTAACAATTGGATTCATAGAATAGGAAAATAGCATAAATGAAAACACTACTTCCATGACTAAAGAAATGTCACGACCCAAACCCGGCCCTATGGGTTTAGCACCGTAACCGGCCAGTAATCCGGGATTACCGAAGGCCTGCAGAAAAGTAATACAGTAAAACAGAGTACAGGGCCTGGCGGAAGCCAATACAGTAAGTAAATAGTGTCCATTGAGCTGTGACAGTCTGTATGCTAAAAGATTTTTCATGCATTCACATACAACAGTACAGTCTTTACAAAATTTACAGTCACACAGTACGGGGACCTAATCCCCTGATAACAGTACGGTAAGCAGTCAGTCTATACAATCCATTCAGTTATTACAGAACAGTAAGACAGTGCAGAAGGGGGAATTGTAAAACACCCCTAAGCCTTAACAGATAGGCTCGGAACCTCGCAGTGAGGCACAAAGGCTGGCTTGACAAAACTGGAGTAACCCTGACGCTCCTAGCCGCGGTCTGGCGCCTGTACACCTACATATATATATGAGCCGTGAACTAAAGCCCAGTGAATAACATAATGCGTAAAGAGGTTAAGAATGAATGTCCTTACAGTATGAAAACAGTTCATTTCAATCAGTCATTCAGTTGTTCAGTACAGTAAACAGTCATATGTGGTTCATCCGTTAGCATAACAGTAAACAGTAGGTCTAGAAGACCGAACAGTAATGATGGCCATCAGTCAGTAAACAGTAGTGGTTCCAACAAGGGAACCGACAGAGATCTCTGTAACAGTAACAGTAAACAGTAGGTGCTAAGGATGCCACAATACAGTTCAGAATATAGGACATACATTCATTCAGTTAACAGTAATCAGTTCAGAAAGCAGTACAGTTCAGTTGTTCAGAAAGTAATTATTTGTGAACATATCTTTACACAATCGTTACTCACAGAGTTCGGCCTACAATATGCTAGAGCGTGTCTCCCCAGTCGCCAACCCTACACAGTTAACAGATTGAACACACTAAGCTACACAGTTGGGAAAGATAACAACTTAATCCCTAATTTGCCTCGGTGTGTTCTACATCTATATCCTCAACAAGATGCCTTAAACTAGGTCTAAAAATGCCTAGTAAGGATGAGGATGCAAAGATGCACATTTAAAGCATTTCAGGATTTCAGAAAAACAGAGTCCCGCTCGAGCGGAGGTTTCCCCCTCGAGCGTACAGGCAACAAAGGTACACGCTCGAGCGTAAACTTCCCGCTCGAGCGTACTGTAAAAGTACTAGATGGGTGAAATCCCCGCTGGACGCCCGCTCGAGCTTGAGACAAGACTCCGCTCGAGCGCCCAATCCTCGCTCGACGGACTGTAAAACAGTGCAGAGAGATGCTGGTTGCTCGGATTCCACGCTCGAGCGCCACTTTCCCCGCTCGAGCGTAAGTGCAAAATCTGGAAAACCCAGATTGCACCTCCAAGCCAAAAACCAAGTTTTAACAACTCAAAACTCAACCTCTTGGGTTCATTTTCTGGAAAACATTTATAAACACATAGAATAACATGGTTCAAAGCTCAATTTGAGAAATCAAAGCCCAAGGGTGTTTAATTCAAATCCAATTTCAAACCATTTTCCAAGAACATGGAGAACATGCAAACATGCATGATCTTAAATCATTTTCAAAGCTTTAATGCTGTTTCAAAAGAGCTCAAGCCTTCAAAAACAAGATGAACTCATGGAGTATGACCAAAAGATGGACATGCATGTGAGGAAACGTGGACTACAACCTCAAAACTTCAATATATGTACATGCATGCAACAATTAAGCCACAATTCAACATCTAAACCATGTTTTGGCTCTACACTCCATCAATATGACATGAACCATGCAAGAATCTACTCAAAACATGAACAAGAAGACAATGGAGCTACCTTAAGTCTTGTAGTTCAAGAAGGGAGCTTAAATATGCAATCTACCCTTCAACAATTCTTCAATTTCCAAGCAACATTGAGATGAACTCAACTCCTCAAGTCTCTCTCTCTCTCTATGGTCGGCTAAGGGTCTCACAAATAGGCCAAAGGAATGTTTGATTCAATGTATAAGGCTCAAGTGTGTGTGTGAGATAGTGGTCCACTAGGGGTAGTTCGGTAAATAAGGCCAACTCTGCAATTGATCAATATTTAATCTAATTTAATCGTACCTAATCAGTTTTCAGATAATTATACCATAAAATCATATTAAATATGACGATCATAATACACTAACCCATTTCCGGTTCGGCCGCCGATAAGGCCTTCAATTAATAGTTTAAACATAAAACACGAACAGATCAAACAAACAGTCCACAGATAAAATGCAATTCAAACAGATGTATTCACTCAATTCAGTTTCAATTTCGGTCAGTCAGTTCAGTACTTTAATCAGTACAATTCTCAGTCAGTTATCAGTCATTATCAGTTCCGTTTAACAGTAATCGGTGATTATCGGTAATCAATCAGTCATTAATCAGTAAACAGTATGAGGGTTGTTACAAGAAAGCACCAAAGAGCATGGATGTTCCAGTTCTCTTCAAAACATAATATTGAGAATGCTCGTTGAATGAGCAATTCAATACCAATTCAATCCGAGCTCTTATACGTTCAGTAGTGATCTTATATATCTAAGCAACCAATAGTAGGACTATTACATTACCTGGCTCATTTTAGGACGAAGCCGAGCTGATCTTGTGAGGCAGAGCCTGGCTGCAAGACCCATTCTCTGAATTTGAGTCTTATCGATGTTTCATTCTAGATTTAGATCGAGTATGCTTCTTAGATTTCCTGTCTCTAGTTTTAGTTTTGCCTAAATATAAATCTTCTAAGTTATATGCACATAAACATAACTTATAAGTTGCAGGCAGTGAAACTGTGAAATTTTCATATCAAAGAAAAAGACCCTTACCCATATGACCAAGCTTTCTTGGCCCTTGTCAGCGTCAAAAGTGATCGCTTTCCTCCCCGATAACAATTCAAGAAAAACCACTCCAAAAGAGTACACATCGACTGTGTCGCTGACTTTGCCATACATGAATACTCGGGAGCAAGGTACCCAAAAGTATGTATTTTGGGAATTGTCAAGGCTGAAAAAACCCATCTCAAAGCTTCCACCAGATGAAACCATGGTATTGTTGCCTGTAATCACTGCTGTTTATTCTCCAAGCATTCCAAAAATTATTTATTTTGTAATCACTGTTGTTTATATTGTTATATTGACTTCGCTAAAGAACATGTTGATAAGGTGTACGCGATTAATATTGAAATAACTTATAACTTAAGAGAAAACATCTGAATCAGTTACCTAGGACGTCCACAATAACTTGTGAGAACAATTAACATGTACTTTTGATTGCATCCACAAGCTTCCATAATCATCTTCCCAATTTAGTAAATCCACAAAACATCACTAATGTTGTATATTCTTCTGTATCATGACTCGAAAATGGTGAGACTAACTCCACTACCTCTTTGTTTTCTGCAAGGGCTGCTCACAACATTTTAATTCTCACAAAACTTTCTAGGATAATCCTTACCTTACCAGCCAAAAAAACACTGCAAGTCATCCTAGGACTGAAGTATCTTCTTGTAATCTTGAAGTAGTAGAAATATACATACCATTTTGCCCAGAAACTATGAAATCGTCAATGTATTCATGAACACTAAGAATTGCCAATCCAAATGCACGACTGCCTATGATATCAACCAAACTGTGCATCCCAAGGTCAATTCTTCCTAACAAGACAACCAAAATTTCAGTTTGAAATTGCAGAAAGAAAAAAGTAAAAAAGTTAGAAAATCAGCCATAAAGTAGGGAAAAATCAAAACTTAACCGTGTAGGATATGAGGTAACTGGATTATGTCCAAGAGAAATTTAGTTAGTAAGTTTTACATTATAATAGGATGCTAAAGCATGAGGTGAACATCTGCTAGCAAAAAGTACAAGAAGTACAGATCGGTCATAACTAAATAAAAACATATTATAAATAAAAAACGCCGCCTAAACCCATTTTTCCTGTTCGACACTTATTCACTACATAAAGACAACACATATGAAAGCCTTAGATATATCATGTAACAATAGAGCTAAGTGACTCCAATGATAATATTCAAGTGTTATAGGAAAATCCAGATTTAGCATCAATGAAATGCTTACTTACCAAATAAATGGAAAGGAAAAACACATAAATAAAGAGTGTAAAGAAGACTCATAGTTGAAACCATGAGATCCATCATAATTTTGCATCTGTTTTATACTCAAACTTTGAGTCAACACCTATTGAAGGAAGGGGAAAACCGAAAGAAAAGAAACAAAAATATAAAACATTCATTGTTTAAAGGCCTCCAGTTGCATTGTTTAAATCCAATTCCTCAAGTGCTTCAATTAAATTAGGCAATGGGATGAGTTGCACACTTGATGAGTATGTAGTATGCAACAGCTGCATTTGTTCTATTTCTATTTGTAGAGTTGAGATGTCAAATACCTAACAGTATTTGAAAGAGTGGTAGATGATTTTTTGCATTTACTAGTAAAAGTCCTGACATTAGAGTAGGCAATTAATGCAAAATGAAAAATGAAAATGATAACAAACTACAGAATGAGCCAAAAAAGATTATTCAGAATAGGCCATTGACTCAGTAAGAAGATAAATTCAGTTTAATAATGCTAACTGCACAGTTGAGATTCAACTAGTTATCAGAAATATAATCTTCCCGCAACAAATTCCCACAGTTTGGCTAAGCTATCGGCCAGATTTTAACCATACACGAGTGTAAATGATCTCAAATCCAACAACTGTCATAATCACAAGCACATTTGGCACTTTCTCAAAACAAAAAACAACATATTAAGGAAGAATGACAAAGTAAACAAAAGAAGAAATTGAACAGGTTTCCAAGCAAATAAATACCAATAGCAGGTTCACAGGTCATACATACAAAGCTCAGAAACATGTGAAAACAATACTGAAACATGTCAAAACCCGTATTTCCTATAGTGAGATAATGTAAAATTACAGTACTGAAAGAAAACAGGCACGAGAAGAAAAACTTAAAACATGTCAAATATAAATATGTAAATATTGTGCTCTGTAAAACTCCAAGTAACAGAAAACAGGCACAACAAATACTAAATGGAATCAACAAAAGCCTAAAGCTCGTCTTTAAAGAGAATTCACCCAAAAACAGTCATAAAAAAAAATAAAAAATCATAACAAGTTCAAATCCTGATTAAAATTGTAGTTTCTTGCTTACAATTTCAATTTCAATAACCAAACCGAGAGAGACGGGAAGGAAGAGCTTGAGAGAGAGAGAAATCGATACCTCGTTGGTGCAGATGGTGGTGGCGGTGGAGCTTCGAAATCGAGAGAGAGAACTTCAAAATCAAAATCGCTCTGAGATGAAATCACTGAGACTGATCTGAATCTCTGAATCTCAAAGATGAATCTCTGAGAATAATAAGGGTTTAGAGAGGGTTGACCGAGAGAGAAAGATATCTAGAGAAAGAGAGAGAGAGAGACGGTGGAGCTCACCTTAGTTGACGATGGTGATCGCTACCTCGCTGATGGTGGGGGTGGAGCTTCGAAATCGAAATCGAAATCGCTCTGAATCTCACAGATACAGATGAATCTGTGAGAATGATAAGGGCTTAGGGAGGGTTGAGAGAGGTGAGATTTGAAGGCGTGAGAATGATAAGGGTTTACAAAGGCTTTGACCATTATTCACAGATTCAAAATAGGCACGTGAGGCCTAACGCATTTGGAGGCGCTTTTAAACGCCTCTTATTACAAAACGGTATCGTTTCAATTAAAGAAATATGCGACGTTTTTAAAACGTCGATACATGTTAAAAAAGTGACATTTCAAAAAGCGTCATTAAAAAAACGCCACCAAAACCCGTATTTCCTGTAGTGATAGCTTGACCACTTGTCGTACGGTTCAGGCCAACTCTACATAAGATGGTGAACCCAAAACTCCACCAAAAAAAAAATACATTTCTTTGGCTAGTAATCTCTCAAGTGTAAACAATAGTTGGTCTAGAAAAGAGTAGATGAGATGAATAATTTATAGGCTACTAAGACCTTACAAATTATACCAAAAAAATAATGAATATTAAACTAAAGAAAATGGAGAGTCCCAAAACCTCCAAATATAACTCACCACCAAGCTCATGACCTTCCAATTAATCTCCATTCATGAACAAAACAAACTAAAAAAAATAAGATTAATGAATAAGACAAAAGGTTACCAAAAAAATAAATAAATAAATAAATAAACAAAATATATTAAAATGGCCGAACACCAACAAATAGAAATTGAGAAAATAAGAAACAAAGAAATCCCATTTTTTATCTGTGGAGGTATATGTCAAGAGAAATAAGAAGATAAAATAGAAATAAAAATAGCTTCTCAATGTAGGTCTCGGATATTTCTTTTGTTCCATAACTTGGGGCTCTTTGCAACTAATCAATTAAAACTTCTCAAATGTACTACTAGCTGTGCATCAAAGATGCAAGCATCAGTTCCTCCGAGAGGATATCTCTCTTTTTGTAATTTTTTTTCTCTTCACAATTCTAAAATCTTACCGCAACCAGTGTATTGCGATTTTTTGAGTAGCAACTCTTTTTTGTTGTTGTTGTTGTTGTTTTTTTAAAGTTTGGAAGACTAATATTGCCGTGATAATGAAGGAGGGAACAGAAAATGATGGAGAACAGAGTGTTTTCTAACTTCTTTGTAATTTACAGGCTCCTAGATTGAAGCCTCCAAAAGTCAAGATTGGAGGCTTATATGTGTGCTTTTGCTTGACTAACCTAATAAATTAAAATATAAAATCTTCTAAAGTTTAATTGTCTTTTATAAAATACATTGTTAATTGATTCACAACTTAGACAATATATCAAGTAAATTTATACGTATTTCCTTCATTGTTTGATATCTTATGCTTGTCCATGTCCACAATTTATTGACTAAACAAAATCTTATTTTATAACTTACAACATAAATTAATTATAAAAGAATTGGACTCACTTAATTAAGTCCCACATTCAATTTTCTGGTGAGAAGAGAGTTTTCAATGTGCTTATCACCCTCTAACCCTTTTTTTTTTTTTTTAAAGAAAATCTAACCCCCTTTTTTTTTTTTTAAAGAAAAAAAAAATGCCAAATCATTTTAAATAAATAACTGAAGAAAAAAAAAATGCCAAATCATTTTAAATAAATAACTGAGAAGGAAGATTAGAAAAGCAACAAATGGGGAGCCTGATCTATCAATATTTCCCGATATTATAACCTTTTAACTATATATTGATAGGTATTTCGATATTATTATGTACAACCAAGACTCCGTGGACTTCTCTAAAAGTGGCTGGAACTTAAAATTCATTTTGAAGAAGTTCAAAACTTTTCCAGCCAAAGTTTACAGCCCCACTGTTTCCTCTCCATCTTTTTATACAACTTTAGTCACAAAACATGAATATCTCCGAAACAGATTAAGGAAAAAAAACTCACCGGACCAAACCATTAGTTAATTTATTTGACAAGTAAGTCAAAATCATTCTTATTTGGAACAAACAAGCCATATTCACACACTTGAACAGTTATGATTATCGCTCCGACTCTGACCTTAAGAACTGGGTAGAAGGTTTCCATGACAATCATACAAAATTTTCCCGGAAAAATCAAGCGGCCTGCACTTCTCTCCCATCATGATCGTCCTCCTCCACACCGCTTCATCGCTGCCATCAAAACCTTCATCTTCATCTTTTTCTTGTTCATCTTCATGCTGATCAACTTTCCTCCAAGAGATCATCTTAACCATCAACAGAGCTTTGCTACTTAAATTGCTCTGCAACCTCGCAATCGGCTTCTTCTTGTTCCCCAATCTCACAATTCTCTCTTTCTTCCTCCGTGAGAGTGTTCTTGTCATGGCCCTGCGAGAACCGCAGATAAATGTCACCCTAGAGAATACAGAGAAGACCCCCATTAGTTTACCACTCAATATAAGCTCACAGAGAGAGAGAGAGAGAGAGAAGTGTGTTTGGTGCATCATTGTGGTTTGTGGGCTGCATTATAAGAAGAAGAAGAAGATGGACTAAGACCAGTAGCAGGGATGGAGTAGAAGGAACCATGGCCACTAGTCAAAATTAAATTGAAAGAGAAGACTTTTGGGGTCTAATGGGGACCAGGAATTATCCAATTGGGAGGTGACACGTCTGTTTCCGCGTGTTGTATTGATGCTGACATGTCGTGTTGTAGTTGGGTCTAGTGCCTTAGTTGAATGCAACGTGTTTTACCAGTTAATGTTGAATTGACCCGTTGACTCAGGTGACTTTGAATTTGAAGTTTTTGTTTCAATGAGACAGTTAACTATATGAATAATGTTTGGGACCCCCTTTTGGGGGTCACCCCTCACCCCTTTGTCACGTGGTAGGGGTGATTGGAGGAGCAGGAAAAAAAAGAAAAAGAAAAAGAACAAGTAACCAATGAGAGATAGAGGGGGTCAAAGGGGTGGGGGAAAAGGGGATGAATCATTATATGATCTTTGAAAATGGTGCCCCCAACGAGTTAAGTTCACTGGAATAATATTTTGATGAGATGGGCTAGTACGGTAGTTGAAATTTTAGGCCCAACTTTTATCTGACGGGCTTGGCCTAATCAGGCTTGCGTGTAGGTTAACCAACTACCTCTTGTGAGCCAAGATTAAATTCTATATTTTTTTAAATATAAATTAATTGGATAGTTACATGTAGCTCCTAATAAGTAGATGTTTAATAGGCCTTATAAAAAAAATTGTTATAAAAAAAAATCATCAATTTATAAAAATCATGACTAAAAAAAGTCACTAATTGTCAATTTTTAGTGACATATATTAAAAATTGTCACAAAAAAATTATTTTTAACGACAATTTTATTAAGACTTGTTTTCAAGTCCCATCAAGTCCTATTGAAAATAAGCCTTGATAAAATTCTCGTTAAAAATAAATTTTTGTGATAATTTTTACATACGTCGTTAAAAATTAACAATTAATAACTTTTTTTTGTCATGATTTTTATAAATTGTCACTAAAATTTACAATTAGTGACATTATTTTAATAAATTTTTTTCATAAAATTTATTAAATAATAAATTTACTTATTAAGACCTTGATATAAGTACACCTATATTTTTCATAATTTTTGTCAAACTCGCGGGTTGAGTTGATAGACAAACCAAACTACCAAATCCTAAGCCTGGCCAAACCCAATTCTCATTTGAGTTGAGCTGACTCGACAAGGTACCGGTTTGGATTTAATAAAAATCAGACTAGTTTTCAAATCAAACAATGACCCGAAGCAATGATCATACTTGGTTTGTTTTAAGGGGAAAATACAGCGGGGTGAATTATTTTTTTACAAATACATGAAAATTTTTAGAATTATAATCATTAATGTTTATAAAATTTTCAATTGATTTGTAATTTTTATTTTTATTTTTAATATACGTTTACACTGAATTGCTATTTCTCTTTGTTTTAAAATAGTACTATTTTGTGTTATGATTGATAGGATCAGGGATGTTCGCGGATCGATTTTGTACAGTTCGCGGTTCGGTTTTGACCCGTCCACATCTATGCGGTTTGAAAAAAAGCAACCCGCAACCGCCCGCAATGCGGTTTGCGGTTTGTGCAGATAGGGTTTGCAGATGTGCAGGAATTTGCGGTTTACACTTTTTTCTTTAAAAATTAATTTTTGGGTTTTTTTTTCCATCAATTTTAGGCATCAAATTCATTTATATATTTGTGATCATTTGACAATAATTTTCTGATGAGTTTACAAATAAAAATTGAATATCAATGCATTAAATGAAAGTACCCAAAACAAAGAGATCCTACACTAGCATTTTTGTCATAAAAAAATGTATATCAATGCATTAAAAATGTATATCAATACATTAAAGGTTGTACTCAATTAGAATTGCCAGTTCAGTAATCAATAATCAAATTAGAAGCTCCATCGACCACCAAAAGGAAAATTTTATTAGGAAAAAGTAGATGAGTCACCAATAAAAATCATATAAGAAACCAAATTTAGGACTTGATAATTCTACGGCATTAAGAAAATTGAGAAATACTTAAAAATATGGATCCTAGTGTCATAGAGAATATAATGGTGCTCCTGTTAAAGTTACAAAGTTGGTATATAAATAATAATAATAATAATAATAATAATAATAATTAAAGTGCGGGCGGTTTTTGCGGGTTGCGGGTTTAACGTGCGACCTGCCCGCAACCTTCAAATTTGTCATATTTCAAACCACATCTGCCCGCATTATGTTTGCGAAACCGCCCATTTATATGCGGGTTAGGCGGTTTGAGCGGTTCGGATAAACCGTTGCCCACCCCTAGATAGGATGGATTAAACGCGCGAAGTGAAATTCAGGTTTTGTTTGAAAAGTGGGTTGCCTTTTTAATTTTTTTGGCTATTTTAGGATGAGATTATAAAGTACATTGGGTTGGATTTTTTAATTTTTTTTAATTTTTGTGAGAGAAAAAGTAAAATGATTATAATTTGGATGTGATATTTTGTCTTATTGACTTATTAACTTATTTTGTTATTTATTTTTGGCTAAATTAACCCCAACCTCAAAAAAAAATCTCATGCCAAACGAGGACTCATTGTGTTTCTTTCTTCAGTGACTAAGGCCTCATTTGGCATGTAACACTTTTAGCTTAAAAGCTAAAAAGTATAAAAATATCAAAAAGTCTATAACATATACTAAAAAGTTAAAGATTTTATTTTCTCTCTACTTTTTGCATATATTTTCAAAAAAAAAATTAAAAAATCATTTCAAATATATTAAATTTTTTTACCTCATATTTTAGTCAAAAAATTAAAATTTTTCTAAAATAAACTCTTTCCAAACGAGACATAAGTAGTGCAATGCTAAGCATACAAAATGATTCATAGAAAATATTTTGAAATAAAACTCTTTGTGCTTAACCAACGGTGTTTGTGAAATTACTAATAGAAAAATATGTAAAATCACTTATATAGCTCATAAAATTTTCTTACTTCACATATGATAATTGCAATAGTGACCGTGGAAATAGAGATGATAGTGATAATGGAGATAGCGGTAGTAGTAACAAAAACAAGATGGTAAAAATCACCATAGCAAGATGGTAAAAATCACCATAGCAATCAATGGTGACGATGTCACTTTAAAAAAATTCAAAATAAAAAATATTTTTATTCTATTAAATTTGTTAATTGTTCACTATAATAATATTTTAAAAAATAAAATAAAATTTCAGTTTTAGTGGTATTAAATGTTAAAAATTACATAAAATAAGATAAAAAAATCATCAAACCAAACAAAAATTCGTATCAAGTTTTACTCCTTGCTAATCAACAATTTACGCTTTTTGAAGTTATTATTTTTTTTGTAAAGAAAATCTGGTAACAAAGGAAAAGTTATTACCAAAATTACACGATTGCTTGTTTGTTTTTTTCTTTTCTTTTCTGTTTTTTAAAGTAAGGCGTCGGTGGATCCGTCAAATTTGTGCTTCGATAACAAATTTCTTGGTAAATTAAAATGGTACGTAGGTACAAAGAATGAACACCATTAGGAATGAAGGTTGGATGTTATTTTCTTTAAAGGGTCAGGCTTTATCCAGTTCACCATCGGATTGGATCGTATTGTTGGGTTCGTAGGGTTCACCACGGGTCTCGTTTTGAAAATATGAACTGTTTAATGTGTAAAACTCTTCGAGTACTATATGCCTGTAAAAAATCACGTTAATCGGATACCGATAATTATGTGATCAAAACAGTTTTTTGTCAACCGTTAATTTATTCACCGTTTATTTTTATTATTATACAAAACTGATTTGATCACATAACTATCGATATCCGATCAACGTGATTTTTTACAGGCATATAATAATCGAAAAGTCCTACAAATTGAACGGTTCAAATTTTCAAAACGAGACCCGTGGTGACTCCCACGGATCAAACAGCACGATCCAATCCGATGATAGACTGAACCAAAGCCAGACCCTTCTTTAAAAAGCCTTCTCTATGTCTCAAGTGAATTTTTTAATTAAAAAAAAAAAAAGTTAGAGAAGAAACCAAAACTCAAATCTAAGAACACATTTATCACTTAATTAGCACACAAAATATAATATTATTTTTTTAATTTTTATTTATTTAATGCGTGTACCAACCGCAAAACTGAAAAAGTTACAAAATATTGATAACATCTTTGAGCAACCTAGAGAGAAATCAAATAGGAATGGCATTGGAGACACAAGGATAAACGACGGTGACTGGGTGAGCCATGATGCGACGGCCCTTAGAGTGGCGAAAGCAGTAAACAAGAGCCCCCACAGGCCATTCCACCACCGCCGCTATTATGAACGCCAAAAACCCGAGTGTGGGTCCCACCACCTTGCACCGGCAAGGATTGCTTGTACTCCCACACTCTACGCACATCGGCATCCCCATACCAACAATTGATCCCGACGATGAGGACAAGAGCAATAATAATAATAATGATATATAGATGTGAGTGTGGTAGGTGGGCTTAGAAGTTAAAGAGAATTGGTGGTTTGGTTTTCTTTTGTTTGTGAGTGAATGTAGTGAAGGAACGAGAGACCCAAGAAGCAGAAAAGACACGTTTAAAAAAATTAAACATTGAATTTTAAAAGGAGCACAGCATAGCATATAATATGTGCTATTCTATTCTCTTCTCTTCTCTTTTTATGGTGGTGGGGCATTGAAAAGCAGAAGGAGCATCAAGGGTTATCATATATTTATAATTGAGTAATATTAGAAATTTTAAAAGATTTATTAAAATTGTCATCAAATGTCTTATATGGGTATGAGTTCTGCATAGTACTTATATGGTGTGAGTCTCACACTCATGTGAGACATTTGGTATAAATTTTGATAAATCTTTTTAGGTCTCTAACATTTTATTTTATAGTTATGAAAAAGATAATATAATTTTATCTCTCAAGGGTAAAAGTGTTCTGCATATAACTTATTATATAGAAATAAATTAAGTAAATTAAAAAAAAAATTAAAAATTGGATGAGGAGTGCTTTTGATATTTTATTTTAAGAGTGTATATTAAGAAATATTTTGAAAAAATAGTTAAATGTTAATTTTTTAATTTTTTTTAAAAAATGTATAAAAAATATAAAAGATAATATAATTCAAAATAAATTAAATATTAAAAAGTGACTCTTAAAAAAAACATAAAACTTTACTTCATGTTATTTATGGTGTCAATTGCGAAGGGGAGGGGGAGGAGGCTGATGCGTGTCGTCTCATGAGAGTACCACGTTAAATTTTACTTGAAGACACATGTTGTCCATCCCTTGTTTTGGGCTGCTACCGTGTACTTCCACTAAAGCAGCATAAAAATATCTATATAATAAGGAATAAAGATTTTTGAATTTAGATGGGACTATTGTCCATTTGTCACAATGTGAATCGTTAGATTGACTCAATCCAACAGCTAAAAAATGTCTAAGAGGCAAATACATTTTCAATGGTGGATTTACAATGGTGATTCAATCATACGGTGTCCAAGAGATAAATGCATTTTCTCATTAGGTTTATTCTTCCCTTCCATCCATCTCTCTCTCTCTCTCTTTCTCATTCAAAATTTAAAATTGAGTTGTCTCCCTCATCTCTCACTCTCAGAGCTCACTCTTCATCTTCAATCTCCCTCATAGTAGATCGGCGACTTCACAGATGGAGAGTTTGTTGGGTGCTAGCCTTGCTAGATCGGTGGGTCTAAATCGGCGACATCAATGAGGTTCTCCAAAATCGGTGAGGTTCTCCAAAATCTTTTGGCCCTTCACATACCAGCCCTTTGTTTTCAATGAAACCAACCTTGAGTCAGTTTTTCTCTCTCATTATGGGTGATTAGTAGCCAGATTAGTAAGGTTTTCTTTGTGTGTATATATATTGATTATAGATTTTTTTTGTTTTTTTTCTTTGAAGCCACAGAGATCATCTTCCTCTCCCTCTGTTTTTTTTCTTTGAAGCCACAGAGATCATCTCCCTCTGTTTTTATATCCCATCTCCCTCTGTTCTCACCCATGTCTTCTTCCCACTCCCTCTTTTATCTCTCTCGCCTTCTCTAATCTTTTTCTTTCCACTACATACTGACACTGCTCACTTCTCCCTTTACAACCCTCCCTCATCGCTCGGCTTGCAAGGTAAGATTTCCTCGATTTCTATCTCTCCCCTTCTCCCTCTGTTTCAATTTCTTTTTGTCTGGCGCTGCTCTCGAACTCTCTCTATTGGGTGAAGGAGATTCCAAGATTCAAAGTGAAGAACCCTAATCGTCAGTGAACTAAAACCTTAATTTCACTTAATTTTGAAAAATCATTGACTGCTACTAATTGTTTGATTGCTAATGAATAGACTAATGAATTTATTGATTTTGTCTTATTTTTTGAATCCCTAAGTGTAACTCCCACAGCTTTCTCCCTCTGTTTCGATTTCTTTTTGTCTTTTCGACGCTTTGGCGCTGCTCTCGAACTCTCTCTTTATCGGGTGAAGGAGATTCCAAGATTCAAAGTGAAGAACCCTAATCGTGAGTGAACTAAAACCTTAATTTCACTTAATTTTGAAGAATTCTTGACTGCTACTAATTGTTTGATTGCTAATGAATAGACTAATGAATTTATTGATTTTATCTTATTTTTTGAATCCATAAGTGTAACTCCCACAGCTTCTGTGATAGATTCGGGTAAATAGGTATTTAATCAGTGGAACATATTGTTAACTCCTATTTTTGTCATTTAATTTCAACTTCTGTGATAGATTGGGGTAAATAGGTATTTAGTCAATGGAACATATTTTTAACTCCTATTTTTGTCATTTAATTTCAGCTTCTGTGATAGATTGGGATAAATAGGTATTTAATCGTCTAGTTTAACATTATATTGAAGCATTTTTTACTTCTTCATCCCCACCCCCTAGCAAACATGCAGTGAGTTGAATATAGTTTGCATGTGTAATTTTCTTTTTATTATATTCTTGATTTGTTGAGTTATATGAGTGTCTCACAATTTGCATAAACATCAGTTCTGCAAGTTCTCTTCTAAAAGTTCTCTTTCTGAAAGTTCACTGGATTTGGTAAGTTCTCTTTATGTTATGTGTAATTTGCTTTCTACTTTCACCACTCGTCTCCCAGCAAAACAATTTCAATTGCACATGTTATGTTATGTGTAGATATTCTAGACAAAGGATCAAAACTAAAGTGTTGAATTTAAGAACAATATTAGAGTGGTTAAGAGGATTACTTTCCATAATTTTATCCTCTTATCCTGTTATGGGCAATCATTTTTGTTTTATTTGTATTTCTTTTAAATAATGTATTGTTAATGTTAGACAAATGAAAACACCTAAACTGATATGGAATATGATAGTGAAAAAAAATGTCAATTTATCTCTATACTATACAATTAAATAATGTTTTGTTCCTCTTGCTATCAGACTCCATTTTCAAGTTATCCCTATACAGTTGTAGTAGGTTCCTTTATAATCCCCCAGTCTCTTAGAAGTTGGATTTGTTGATTGAGATTTTATTTTATTTAGCAGGTTGAGTTTACTTATTTTGGAACTTTTGATTATTGACTCTTCAAAGGAACAATGCCTTAGCCTTAGGTGTTGAAATACATGTGTATGCATTATATTCTTTTAGATATTACGATTGACCTTAAAAATTTAATGGACAAACCTTGCATAGTTTTCATCTGCCTACTTTCGTGGGCAAAACACACATGCGCATGCATGCATGCATTACATATATATCTCATTGGATATGTGACAGAAAAGTCCATTTGTGCTCATATATATATATATATTTTAAATTTTGTGTTCAAAGTTTGATTTTTTGTAATGGAAAAGTATTTGATTGCTAATGAAACTTAGAATCAGTTGGTTTCAGATTCTAAGAATTTTTTTGATTCATTATGGTGATTTCCAAGTTGATTGCTTTTAAACAAAGCAATAATAAGTTTTTCCCTGATTTATTTTCTGAATCTGTTGGGTTCAGATTCTAATAATTTTTTGAACTACTAATCATTGGGTGTTTGTTCCATTGGGTTGTTTTTTTAACCATTTCCATACTCTGTTTTTTTTTAAAAAAAAAAATAAAAAATTGTATTCAAAGTTAGATGTTTTGTAATGGAAAAGCATTTGATTACTAAGCTTTTTAGTTTCATTTGAGATTTAGCAGGTTGAGTTTACTTATTTTGGAACTTTCGATTATTGACTCTTCAAAGGAACAATGCCTTAGCCTTAGGTACTGAAATACATGTGTATGCATTATATTCTTTTAGATATTACGATTGGCCTTAAAAATTTAATTGACAAAGCTTGCATAGTTTTCATCTGCCTACTTTCGTGGGCAAAACACACATGACAAAATTCTATTTGTGCTCATATTATCATATATGAGAAAAGTATAGTGAGTTTTGCACATGTTATGTTATGTGTAGATATCAAGGCATACCTGTTTCTTGCGCTCTCCCCTTCTCTCTCTCTTTTTTTTTTTGGCTATGTTTGTTTTTGTGTTTCTATTCTTCAGTTCTTCAATTAATTATCATCGGTAAAATAGCATCGGTACCCAATTTGTCTACATATTATCGGTACCCAATTTCTTGCTCACTGTAGAACTGATGAGTGTTTTTTTTTTATCTCTTTCCCATTTTTTCTTGACAGCCAAATGGAAGATTAGTTTAGCAACATTTCCATCAATGACAAGAATACAACACTGAATCCACAATTCACATGGAATAAATTGTAAATAAAAAGTTACTAACTCACCTTTTGACTCTGATTTTTGCTCATCCCCTTTCGGTGCTTCTTATTATTTGGGTAGAAATTCTCATAATCTACAAATAAGAGACCCATAAAAACACACATGCACATGCATGTATGCATTACATATATATCTCATTGGATATGTAACAGAAAAGTCCATTTGTGCTCATATTTATATAATAAAGCAAAACGGTTTTCAAAAATACGTAAAATGTATCAGAGATACATTTTGATTGAACGGCTAAGATGAATCCTAAATTTATATTAATGGTTTAGATCAACGATACTTCCCGCCCAAAAAATTTCTCTCCCAAGCTTCCCATCTACCCACGTTCTCCTCACATTTCCTATCTCTCTCTCTCTCTCTCTGTTCTCACCCACGTCTCCTCCCCATTCCCTTTTTATCTCTCTCTGCCTCTCTGTTCTTCTTCTTTCCTACCCTCCATCTTTGCTCACTCTCGAAACTGCTCTCCAGTCCTCGATTATTGCCGCTTGAATTCGTCTCGCAAGGTAAGATTCTCTCTGTCGGGCTATGTCTGTTTTTGAATCGAACCCTCCCTCTTCGCTCGCTCCTGACCCTTCTAACTCGGCTTGCAAGGTAAATCAACATAATCAAACAGGTTATTTTAGGGTTTTGTTTACGGGTTATATATTTGTAATTTCTACCAAATCTGTTCATGTTGTGGTTATCTTCCTCATAGAATGCTCTATTCTAAGCATAAATCGGGGTCTCTTACTCTACTGCAGCCAAGACAACAATACAAGTTGAAAATCTTTCTTTGTTAAGTCGACAGCTCCGAGGTGAAGGAGATTCCAAGATTCAAAGTGAAGAACCCTAATCGTGAGTGAACTAAAACCTTAATTTCACTTAATTTTTAAGAATCCTTAACTACTACTAAATGTTTGATTGCTAATGAATAGAGTTTATTGATTCTAATTTCATGATTGGTATATATCAGCTCTCAAATTATATTCTTATATTCTTATTTTTTGAATCCATAATGGAGGTTATCACTTGGCTGGTGATGTTTTTGAGTTTGTTTCATGGTTGCTCATGGTTGTTCTGATTCAAAAAATAGTATAATGATTTTGTTTTTGATAGATTGGGGTAAATAGTATAATGATTTCTTAATGGTAATGTTTTATTTTTTTATTTTTTTATTTTTTTTTCCAGTTAAATTCTCAACCTTAGAACTTTCTTTGCTTTTTTAGAAAATTTGTGTTAGAATGTTTGGTGCCACTTCTGCCAATAACTTATCAGATTTTGCTTAATTCTGTTGTATGTGTATTTTTTATTTTTATCTATTTATTTATTTTTGCTCTAATTTGTTTCCACATTATGTCATTTAGTTTTCACTACTCATGGATTGCAATGTGCGACATGGAAATTGCTCTCATTGTTGTTATTATTATTGTTTTATTTCGTTTCAGGTGTCGTCTTTCAATCGCAATCTGAATTCTGCAAAGTTTCAATCAAGCATTTTTGGTACTGTTGTTCCTGGCAAGCCATCTTCCTTACAGTTGAGTAATCTATTGTTTCCTCTTTGTGCAGTTGAGTAGTGTTTGCTTACATTGTTATAAACACAGAATTATTTGGTCCAAACCATACAGAAAATGTATTGCTAGGAGTATGCAGCCTATCAAAGCAACTGCAATGCCTCCTACAGTTGTTCTTCAACCAACATCTCGTACTATTCTTTGTTTCAGTTGTTTATTGACTATGTATGTAATTTATTTTCCTTCGATAAAAATTTGACCTTGTAATTAATTGTTGGTGTATGATCCATAGCATCCTAGCTAGATTAAAAGTTATTTTAACTAACAAAAATGAACTCACTCAAATTGCTTACTTTTTCAGGTTTTGGTCGGATTTGACGATTGGTATTACGGATAGCAACATCTAGGGATGACATGAATGTTGTGGCTGTCAATGATCCCTTTGTTGATGCATGGAAAGAAGTTGTGCTTTGCTTCTATTTTCTTTGGGTTCCTCCCCAGACATCTTGAATTGTTTTACACGTAATGTATTTTCAATAGTAACATAATCTCCTTCCAGTTGTTGGGCTGTAAGCTGAACTTAGCAGTTATTGGCAAGCTCAAGTTGCTAAAAGATAATTGTAGTTCATTTGATGACCCAAGTTTGAATCTGAATTGTACACGCTGTTCTTGGTGTATGATCCCAAGCATCCTTGCTAGATTAAGAAGTTTTTTTGAAGGATGAACGATGAGAAATTGTTTGAGGATGTTTTTTGGGTTCATTAAATCATTTGGAATTTTAAAGTTTTTTTGAAGGATAAGGATGAGAAGTTGTTTGGGTAGACATAACTAATTAAGTTAAGAAACACAAATCTAATCAATGGTATCATCTCTCTCTTATTTTGGTTTCCATGGATGGGTGTTTTCTATAGGTTTATTTTCTCTAGTTTATCTTTATTTGGGGTTTTATGAAATGGTTCTTTTAATGCCTTTGGTTCATTTCTGGGCAACATTTACTTTCGGTGCAATGTTTGGTTGCTGAGAATTTAAAGAAAAAAAATGGAAAAACAAATAGGGAAAGCAAACAAGTTATTGCCACCAATTTAGGTTTTGGGTAACAATAGAAAGAATTTAATCACCGAAATTCATAGTGATAAAGGCATTAAAAGTTTGTATTCGTAGCTAAGCTATAATGTGGTTGCGTGTGCTTCAGTTTATTATAGTAAATAAATTATTAAATGTTATTAGTTGAAGTTTCTAGCATATTTTTGTTGTTTTATTTTATTTTTTTAAAATTTTTCCCTTCAACTTTTTTTGTTTAACTGTTTCTTAAATTCTTCTTTCCTTTTTTTGGTTTATTTATCTGTTTGCTAACCACATGTTTCGTTGTTTCAAAGTAAGGTATTCGTGTATATTTGTGTATGAGAAATGTCCCATCCCAAATTTTTCTTAGGCGAATGATTAAAGGTAACCATAGAGGAGAAATTCTCTTAGGTGACCATAGAGGAGATATTATATAATTTTTTCTTCCCTTTCATTATTTTTTGAAAACCAAACAAAACCAAAAGTAATTGTTACTAACAAGTTGTGATGAAATGTATATATCCATCGTTACTATTAGGTTGTTACTGCCAATGATGTCATGATAATGCTAGCTGTTTGGTAGACCCAACTTAATGATGGCCGCACATGAGATTGCACAAGACCACTTCGATTATGAGTTGGGGGATGCGAACATAGTAGCTTTCTTTGTACTATCTTGATTCAAATATCCCAACAACAAATTAGTTGCGGAGAAATTGTGTTGCAAGTTTGTTGACAATGATTGAGGCAAGTTTCATTAAAGAGCTGCAATCAGTGATGATTGTTGTGAATTTATAGTAGATTACTGCCTTCAACAAAGTTGAAACTTTTATTGTTGTTTTTTAATAATTTTTGGTGGTATTAATATATTGAGAGCCATGAATTAGTAACCCAACTGTTAATGCAACCTGTGCGATTGTTCCGAAACCATGGGTCTTCAATTAATGCCTATGTTTGGTTATATTTGGGTGGGAGTGGGCTACCAAAGGAAAAGTTCTTGCAACTTTTTTCTTTCTCTCTCTCTGCGCTCAAAAAAATTGTGCACAATTTTAGTTTGGGTATCATTTTAGTTTTCCCTTATTTTGAAGTTGTCCCCTAGCAAGAATGCTTTTATTTTTAATTTTTGTGTTGATATGAAGTTTACACTTTAGAGTCATAAAGTTTGTTAATAAAACCAAAATGTTTATGATCAGGTTACTTGCCTTACTTTAAATAGCTGATTAGGAAATGTTTATTTTTAAAATATACAATTAAACATATTTTCAAGTTTTTAAAAATATATATATATATCTTTTCAAAATTAATCAGACCTTGATTCATATTTTGACTTCAAATTTTTAGCAACAAATTGGATAAATTATATTTTAACCCAACAATTTTATATTCAATTACATTTTGATTGCATCATTATTTGCATCGTGCCCTTAGTCACGGGCATACGCTAGTTAATAAATAAATAAAATAGTGTGTGATATTTTGTTGTCCACGAGTTCTTGATTGTTATTATCACTGTCATAAAAAAAAATGTTAATTTTATTTTATATATATGGAATTCGATTATAGAGAATTGCACTCAAATGGCTTAAACAATCCGATCTAAAAGATTGGTGTGCTATATTCCGTTTTTCTTTTAATATATTGGACTAATTTGAGGACATAGTTAAAAATTAATTTTTGACTTTTAATCTATTTTGAATTATATTATCTCTTTATTATTTTATATTTTTTTTTAAAACGTCAAAAAAAACTAAAAAAATTAATTTTTAACTAACTTTTCAAAACAGTTGACTGTTACTTCTCAAAAAACAAAAGGTGTGTTGGATTTGAGAGGCAAAAATGGAAAATTGGGCAATATTTTAAACCAAGACTTAGAAAAACCGAATCTTCGCAATTCAAGTGAAATTTTATTAGACTAGTCATACTAAGATGGCAAGAAAACTTACTTCTGAGAGAGCTGCTTTCACCTCAATAATTACTTGATCCTGTTGGATGAGCAATGTGTGTAAACAATGTATAACGCAGCGGAATAAACAATTATGGTCATACCTTTCAAACAGAGTCTGAATTGAAAGATCTCGTGGGTAAATCACGTGCTTCCTGAATCTGGTCAATCAACCCAGCAATGGGGTGATATTCACTAATATCACCCACACAAACCACAATGCAAATGGCTTTGATCGTTATTTTTGGGAGAGAGTCAGTATATGGGAAAAACTCAAACATACGTTATTTTTTCACTTAATCACCCATATCCCATATATCAGATATATAATCTATTTATCTCATTTATCCATATTTGTTAAATGAGATAATATCTGATATCTATATCATCTATTCATATCATGATATGATAGATATATATCCTCAGTGGCTATCCAAATAGGTTTGAATTCAAATTCAAAATCCATTTGGATAAGCTTCAAAAGGTTCAAAAGGTCATGCCACATGGGCGCCCAATTTCTAACAATGTGATTAATAATTACAGAGCACGCACATACTAGCGAGGGGAGATCCATTTGCCAGAATCAAAGGTTCTTTTTATGAAAACCTCCCCGAACAATAGTCATTTTTTGAAAATTAATTATTTAATTTTTTTTATAAGAATACACATAAAAAAAATTAATTTTTTTATTAACAAGTTTTTGACTTTTTAATTATTTTAACTAAGGTGGTATTTGATAAAGCTAAAAATTAAAAATTGAAGATTGAAAATTAGTATTAGAAACTGAATGTTGAATTTTTTAAGTTGAAAAGTTATTTGATAAAAATTTAAATATTGAACTAAAAATAAATTGTTTGATATATATATAAGATCAAATTTAAAATTCATTATTTTTAAATTGTATATTTCAATTTTTATATTGTGATGGTGGTAGTAGTGGTGGTGGTGGTGGTGATGGTATGGTGGTGATGGTAGTAGTAATGGTAGTGGTGATAATAACAGTAGCGTTGATGGTAGTGGCGGTAACATGGTGGTGGTGATAGTAGCAGTAGTGACAGTAACGGTAGCAGTAGTTGTACAATGATGGTAGTGCTTGTGGCAATAATGACAATGGTGATGAAAGTAGTGATAGTAGCAATGGTGATGGCGGCAGCAGTCGCATGGTAGTGGTAATGGTAGTGGTAGTGGTAGTAATGATGATGGTGATAGTGATAGCGGTGGCATGATGGTGGTAATTGTAGTGGTGGTGATAGCGGTGATAGCGGCGATAGCGGCATGGTGGTTGCGGCAGTGATAGTGGTGGCGGTAGTTGTAGCTATAGCTGTAGCAATGATGATGATAGTGGTGGTGGCATGGTTGTGGTAATAGCAGTAGTGATGGTGGTGATAGCAATGGCGGTGGCATGGTAGTAGATGTAGTGATGGTGATAGTGATAGCAATAGCGGTGGTGGTTAGTTTATAGGAAAATATTATAGACCTCAAATTTTCCACCAAATAAATGATCAAATGTCTCATATGGGTGTGGGATTTACAAAATTGTGGACTCCACATCTATGTGAGACATTTGGTCATTTATTTGGTAAAAAATTTAGTATGCCTAGCATTATCCTAGTTTGTAATAGTAGATATCGATAATTATGTTTAGTATTATAAATTCAATTAAATTAAGTAATTTTCATATGATTTAAAATTTTTTTAAATTTTAACTTACAAATTAAGGAGCACTTAATTTTTAAGTAATATCAATTAGGGTTATAAAACGAGTTTAATTAATTATTACTTAAAGTATTTAATTTTAAATGTTGAATCATATTATCAAATATTCCCTAATTCTCAAACTTATCCTTAATAAATAATAAATCGAATGGATCGACTCGTAAATCTTCATTACTTTTTCATCAATTAGCCTGACCCTAAAATGCCCTTGAAATAACTTTGGGGGGCCAGTGTCTTGCAAGCCTATCGGTGGATTGATCAGTCAGATTCTGCCCATGTGCACTCCCATCCATCTCCAATTAATCTGGTCCAACGCATATTGGATCACCGCATCTCTTGATGATCACAAAACCATCTCTTGACTCTGGTGATGAAAATAGCATATGTTCAAAGAGTCCAACCCTCAAATCACAGAGTGGGAATTTTTTTATCAGCCCACTTTGAACATAAACTTTATTACCAAGTCCCTCATTTTCATTCTCATTCATTTTAGTTTCAATAACATGACAGTGACTAAATTTTGAATATCATATGATGTATCACTCTGTTTATTTCAAGCGCATCAATACTTTGTTGGCATCCACCACAGGGAATGCACTGAAAATTCGTACTGCAAAAAGGAAGGCTCCTTCTGAGATCTAAAAGCAGAGGATAAAGTATTACACTTTCACCATCATTTGGTAGGGTATATGATTCCTCTCTCTCTTCCTTTGTTTTTGTGCCGTCAAAATGTTCTGTGTTTTGTGCCACAAAAAGATTGCTTTTGTGACTCATTAAAGAGTTGTCACAACCCCTCCCACCCAAAACAAATTTAAATTAGAAAAATGCTTGGTGCACTAATTAGTGCTCCCACTAATTAGGTGGTAGTGGGTCCCGCCATTAATGATGTGATGTTTTGGTCTTGGAGTTGTAT